ACATTAATTATATACCATTTATATTCTTTATATATATTCATTAAAAGGCGGCGATTTTTTTTTTAACATTACGGTATAATTAGTATATTTTATATTATTTGTATTAAATATAGATACAGTATATGCATCCCCGCACAGTAGTTTTTTTAAGAAAAACTTTATTAATTAATTACTCGTTTTTTTTTCTTAAAGCTATTCCTATTTTGACTATTATAATTATTGTTATTATTATTATTTTATCTTTTACGATTATTTTCTTATCAGTAACAAAAATAATCAAAATCTATAATATTAATCAAGTAAAATCTTAATAATAATAATAATATTAACTTTGTGCCGTGTTACAATATTTTTGTGGCTACATATATGCTGTAATATATTGTAATGTATGATATTTATATATGTTCTTTATATATATATATGTATATATATATGTATATATATATGTGTAATAAAATGATATCAATAATTTTGCATTATGAAAATTTATTAATAATCCGAAGAATCCTTTATGAACTTTTAACACAATTTATCCCGTGATAATGTTTCAACACAATTACACATATTATATATTTACGAAAAAAATCCAACAATTTTATTCGACACATGAAACGAATTTACGGAAATGATCCGGTCATTCTCCTTGTTTTTCAATTCATTTTAAAAAAATGGAAATAAAAATAAAATGAAAAATAAATAAATAAACAAGAAATAAAAGAATGAAGAAAATGGTTATAATGGAGAAGGAAACAGATGAAAATTATTTTCTTTGTTCTTTTATTACATAATAAATTTTGGATATGTACATAAATAGAAACTATTATTTTTAATTACTCTCGATAGTGCAGTTATAATGTGATAACACAATAATCTGATAAAATGTAACAATTCAAAATAACGTAATATAATGAATTGATGCAAAGGAGTGAGAGAATGAAAAATTTAATGCATAAATAATACTTAAATAAATCTGTACATTACATTTTACTGTACATTGTATAAATAACTGAATAATCTCTAAAAAAAACAGATGTGTTCTTTCGAAAATCTCTTTTTAGAATTATTATTTTTTTTTGTTGTTTCTAGTTTACAGAAGTTTGTTAAATAATTGTCTATTTATATATTTATGTATATATATATATATATTTATTTATTTATACATTATATATATTCTATTTATTTATATATACATTATATATATATTCTGTTTATTTTTATTTATTTATATACATTCAGTGGATTGTATCCGTAAATATTATATCGTAAGATTTTAAGGTTATCGATAACGAAGGAAATTTTAACAATTATCTATTCACAATTGTATATTTCATTCATTCATTCGCTTATTTTACATGTCATTTTGGTTTTTTTTTTTTTTTAAGTTTTTACCGCATGACAAAAAATGAAATTTTAGGAAAAATTTCGGCCCATCTTTATTTATTTACTTATTTTACATAATTATTTTCTTGTTTTTTTATTTATCATTTATTTACCATCATCATTTATTTATTATTATCTTCATCATTTATTTATTATTATCCTCATCATTCATTTATTATTACCCCCATCATTTATTTATTTTTTTATCATCATCATTACAAATGTTTGATTTTCTACTTACGTTAGTATACAAATTTGGACAACAAGTATAAAATGTCAAAAGTGAGTAAGAATAAGTAAAATGTAAAGTGTGTTGTAAAATTTGAATTGGCGGCCAACTTAATTGAAATTTCCTAATTTGAAAATACGTAAGAAGCATGACATGACTTTCATGAATTGGGTAATTTATTAGCAAATTATATTTGTTATCTGTTATTAACAAAAAAAAATTAAATAAAATAAAAGTGTTTCTTTTAAAATCAACTAGTGAAGATGGAGTGAATTAGTAAATATCTGATATATAAATAAATGGTTTAACAATTATGAAATTACCTTATTTGTCAAATTCGAATTATGATGAGCATGCTAATTTTGGGTTAATAAATATAATAATTGAAAAATCAAATTAAGCAATTGAATAATTTTAAAAACAATGAAAAAGTATAACAAAATGAGAAATTTATATATTAATCTTACCCGAAATTCAATTCCTTTGATTTTTGAGGATAGCTGTGAAACATAAATATACTTAATGAATACAATTCGGTCTCGTGACGATGTCTCCTTTTTATCGTTAATCCCTTTTTCAAATTAGTTGAGAGTTGAGTTATCTCAAAAAAATCATAAAAAAATAATTTTTTACTATTTACATTATAATAATTGACTGTTCTGACATAAAGCACGAATCAAATCTGCCTAAATGTTTTTCATCTGTAAAGATTTCTAACGATCTTTCTCTTTTTATTTTTTATTTTTCATTAAAGATAAATTGTTTTCGGTAATTATGCAAATAAATATTCAATTTTAAAATCTTTAAAATGGTATTATTTTAGAATATTAATATTAATGTGTGAAAGATACTGAAAATCTAAAATTTTTTTCTGTTTATTAAAAAAAAAAATTATTTTATTTGAAAAAATTAACTAAATATATACATTATTACACTATTAGATTATAACGATTGTATTATATGATTTACTTTTTCTTATTTCTCCTCTTTTTCTTCTATTTTCTTCTTTTCTTTTATAATAATATTTCAACAATTTGATGAATGGATGAATGAATAAATAAATAAATAAATAAAAAAAATCAAATAATTAAATTAATTAATTAATTAATTAATTAATTAACAACCTTTTCAATTCTATCCTGAAATTTACCAAATTCCAATCTTCTCCTTTTAAGTAATCTTAATTCTTTATCCAACTTTCTAAAAAATCTCCTCGCATCAATTTTCAGTTCGGTAATCAAATAAACTCCTTCCTCCTCCAAATATTTTAAATTGAGAAATGTTTTTTCGTTTCCAAATTCTTGATAATA